GATTTCCCCTCTCTCGTTCTTAAGATACAATACGACTCCCTTTGATTTCCTGAATTACATAGGGGCCTTCAAATTTTGGAGCTAACTTTGCAGTAAAATTGTCTGGGGCACTTGATAAAGAAAATTTCCGCTTCAATACTTTATCCCCAACTTTAAAATCTGCTTCACGGCGTTTTCTATCATAATATAATTTTTGCTATTTCTTGCCGTATCCGAGCTTTTAAGCGCCTGATCAATAAGTTTTTGCACATCTTTCTGTTTAAACTTTTGCTTTCCTTGTTGCAAAAAGAATAATTAATCTAAAGGCGTAATTAACGTTCGGCCTAAAAATAATTCTGCTGGACTTTTTCCCGTAGTATCGTGATTTGCCGTTCTTAAAGCATAAGCTAATTCATTTATGTAGCCATCCCAGCGCTTGTGATGTGTGCTAACGTAACTGCGAATTATTTTTACAATGTTTTTATTAACTCTTTCTGCTATGTTTGCCTGTGGTCTATACGGAACCATTTTGATATGGCGTATGCCAAGTCCAGTTGCATATGTTTTCAAATATTTGACTAATGAATTGTTTTCCGTTATCGCTAATGACTTTTATCGGTGCACCGTATTTTAAAATGTATCTGTGTAAGAATGCATCTGCGACTGTTTTGGCTGACGCGCGTTTAAGTGGAACAATTTCTGTCCATTTTGAAAAATGATCTACAATTACTAAAAGAAAACGATTTTTATTTAACTCGCTCTGGGGGAAGGGACCAAGAAGATCTATGCCTAAAATTTCATTCGGAAATGTAGCGCGAATGCTATTTAAGTACCCGGCCGGGCTGTAATTAATATCATTTATTAACTGACATTGATTGCAGGACCTGACATACGCAGTTACTATTTTGTATAATTGCGGGAAATATACCGCCTCGCGTACCCTTTTTAAAGTCTTTCTGACCCCTAAATGACCCGCTGTTTTCGCGTCGTGTAATTCCTTCAAAATGCTTAATCGAAGCGAGGCTGGGATGACTGGTTTGTACTCGAAGATTTTCGTTTGTTGTTTTCGTATAAAATAATAAATTATCTATTATTTCATAGTTTTCTGCTCTATTTCTTATCGCATCGATATCTGTGTGCTCAAAGCTTTCGGGGTCTTTCAAATATGCATAGATATTTCCAAATTCAGGATCAGCTTTCAGTTCAGCGAATAATTGTATCTCTAGAATCTAAAATTTTTGAAGTCAACACAGCGCATTTAAGTTCATTACCTTCATCGTCCAGTTTTATACGAGAAAGTGCGTCAGCTACATTGTTTTCCTTACCCGGTTTATATTTATTTTTATGATTAGATATCTTCTTGGAGTTTTAAAGCCCATCTTATTAACCTGGGCGTTAGGTTTTTTCCCCGAGTAAAGTCTACCAACAGCCGCATGATCCGAAAAGACTGTTACTGGCGCTTTGCCGAAATAAACTCGAAATTTGTGTACAGCCATTAATACGGCTAATGTTTCTCTCTCTGTAGCTGTATAATTCCTTTGTGTAGATTCAATGTTTTACTAAAAAATGCCAAAGGATGGCCATTTTGCATAAGAACCGCACCCACCGCATAGTCCGACGCATCTGCTGCAATTTCCAGGTTTTCGTCCCCCTCCGGGAATTTCAAAACAGGGGCATTGATGAAGCGCTTCTTTTAATCTTTCAAAAGCGGTATTTGCTTCCGCTGTCCACGTAAATTTACTTTTCTTTCTTTTAATTACTAACAAGGGTTCAACAATATTAGCGAAAATCTTTTATGAAAGACCGATAGTAAGAACATAACCCAAGGAAAGAAGAAAGTTTCTTGGCGGTGTTGGGCGGTGGGAAATTCTTGATAGCTTTTATTTTTGAATCTTGCGTTTCTATACCCTTTTGCGAAATTTTATAACCGAGATATTTAAGTTCTTTAGTTGCGAACTTGCATTTTGAGGCGTTAATTGTAAGACCGGCCTCTTTTAATAATTTAAAAACTTCTTCTAGATCTTTAATATGTTGTTCCAACGTACTACTCGTTATAATTATATCATTTAGATAGATTAAAGTTGATTTTCCTAGGACAGGCTTTAGAACAATGTCCATAGCTCTCTGGAATGTTGATGGGGGCCCCACACAACCCAAAGAGCATGCGTAAAAATGCATAAGTGCCCGATTTTGTTATAAACGCGGTTTTATGTATGTCTTCGGGTCTCATAGCTATTTGATAGTAGCCAGACGTTAAGTCCAAAGTAGACATGTATCTTGTAGATTTGATCTTTCTAATGATTTCCTCTATAACCGGCAAAGGGTAAACTGGGAATTTAGTAATACTATTTAGTTTTCTGTAATCGATAGCAAACCTCCAAGCCCTTTTATCCGAAGGAGGAAACTCGTTCTTTTTCCTACATAGTACGACTGGACTCGCGTACTCACTATTTATGGGCGTTATTATTTTATTCTTTAACATTCTCCTGAATATGTTCTTCGATGATTAGTCTTTTTGTTTATCATAGCGATAAGGTTTAGTCCTACAAGGTTTTTCGGCAGTTAACTTGTATCTTGATGCGTAACTATTTGACAGCTTTCCAGGGTTTTCTGAAAACAAGTTAGAAAAATTACTCACCACTTGCTGGATGGCTTGACTTTCATGGTCATTCAAATGGCTAAGGTCCAACTTGCGGTTGTTCCACAGGTTCCACCACCACCCTCTGGTCCATCTCCAGCACCATAGGAACTATCCTTGAAAATTCAATTTGGCCCTCGCGGCCCTTAAAAACTCCATACCTAAAATAAGAGGATTTTGCAGATGTTTTTACCACAAAAATTAATACTTTGAGGCTTTCCTCTTTTACCTGTATGTTTAATGATAATTTCCCGATGCAGTGACATGTTTTTCCTTGCGCCGCTATAATTTCCGTGTTTTTGGTTTTTAAATAATCGTAACCTATAAAAATTCTTTTTGAAGAAATTTCACTCATAAAATTTCCTTCTGCTCCTGTATCGATGAGGGCTTCTACTGGTACATCGCCAACCAGGACTTGTATAATTGGTAGCTGTGAGTTTTTTACGATGACCGTATTTAAATGTCTTTTGAGGGTTTTTTTAAAACTTCCGGGGTCTGGACCCTCGCTTTCACAGGCCCCTCTACTCGTTTAAAGCTTTCCTTTCAACTTCTGTGCCTTCTGGGTACGCGGACGTTTGTTTTCAAATTTTCTTTTTGGGCCTTGACCTTCGAGTTTCGATGAGTTAGCTTGATAGCTCTTTCCCCCATAAGAGCGATTTGCCATTTCTGGTTTGCTCATTTGAAGATTGCCTTCGGGTACTTTGAGAATACGATTGCCCCTCTAGCTTTTTCCGCTATTCTGCGATTTTGAAACTTCACCGCCAATTCGAAGAGCTTCCTGCAATGTGCTTGGGTTTCTAATTTCGAAAGTAGTCTTGAACAGCAGGGTAACAATCTTGGTAAGATTATTTCAATAATCTCCGCGTCGGGTTTCTTCCCATACAGCATATCCGTCAGCTTAATTTTTCGCAGAATAAAGTCCGTCAACTCTTCTATATCCCGTTGATAGAAAACTATATAGTTCGGCTTCCAGCCTTGCTCGATCTTTCACTATGGGGAAGGCCTTTACTAACGATTTTTTGAAATTTTCAAATGTATATGTCTGGCTTCCAAATTCCCCTAATAAAAATTTGCCTATATTCTTCCACCATAGCGCGGCCTGTCCTCTTAGTGCAGATGTGGCGATGGCAACTTTTTGTCTTTCAGGCACAGGGTAGAGCTGGAAAGTGATTTTTTTCTAGGCCTTCTAGAAATATCGCCACCGAATTTTTTCCGTCGAAATTGACGTTTGGCTTGATTGACGCTCTCAAAGTCTGGACCAGGTATCCAAATCCTTCCAATTGGCTTGCCATTTCTTGTTGTTGTCCAGCGGCTTCCATCCAATTTTCGGCCATTTCAGTTCGACAAGTGTTCGGGCGCCAATGTAACGTTGCGCGCCTCCAACCTTGCACGCAACCAAGTGGTGACTGCTGAAAACTGGAATAAAGACAGAGTCTTGTAGAAGGGTTTAAGTCCCTTTTTATTCAACTTTAGAAATTACAATTGCGTGCTCTTGACGCTCACAAACTACGCCGACCCGGCGGTAAAATAAAAATAAGAACCTGAAAAAAGAAATAATAACAAGACTAACTACGAGGCTCTCTAAAACGTAACTAACCTCACCGCGTTTTACAATACCGCTGCTAATTCAGCAAACTTGAAGCTATCACGTTGAAAGATTAACAATTCTCCGAGGCAAGCACACAGGCCGAAACGCGGGTTTCTTCAATTTCTCGCTAACTACCTCCGCGCTCGTGAAGTAAGAAAGCACACTCGAACTCGTTTCCTTCTATTTAAACTCAGAATACTTCCGCTGATAATTTGAATCCTTGCGCGTTCTACTAAAAATTTACATACTCTGGCGTTGGCAGTTCCAGGGGAAAGTAAGGCTTGACAGGAAAGATAGTTTAAACTTAAAATAAATGTTAGTTAAAATAAACATAAAACCTACAGAGTCATTAGAGAAAAAAATTACAGCCAAATTATCTTAATTTATTTATTAATCGACAGCTCGACACAGGTGGAAAAGTATAAGAAATTAAATATCCTATTCAATTTTTATCATAGACATTTTATGTTATATATTAAATACAAAAGTTTTGGAAATATAAAGAAAAGGACTGACGGATGCTATAAAATGTTTATAAAACGGACCATGTAAAAAGTTTGAGTTCGCAAATTTTATGAAACTTAAAGATGCCAAAGTATGCAAAGGCTGTATGAAGACTTGTGAGCATGGTGTACAGCAAATCAATAATGGCTGAATTTATACGAAACACAGAATCCACGGAAACCTCTTTCAGAAAGCTTAGGCCTAGCATTAGAGAAGACACGAAGATCGAGTTTAGATTGTGTAAGAGAAAAAAGTTTTGTTATTTTTTTATACTAACTTAAAACCATTTACCTAAAAATCCTTATGATGCTGAAGAAATCCAAGATATCCGCTTTCTCAAGGTCAGATGCCAGCCTTTGAAGCAACATATCAGAGTAGAAGGACATTGTGGCGATAAAATCGATGATATTGATGGGCGCCGTCATGAATTCCATCTTCTTGGGGCTAACCAAGAATCGAGAAGCAATTTCGAAAGAAAACCTTGAAACAAATGGGAAATCATTATTTTCATTTCATTGTAATAAAAAAATTCTTTTGGTTAAAAACTGTCTTCCAGATTTAATTGCAAAAATTAAAAATGATTGCTGATTTTTTCCACACTAAAGAGATATCAACTTAAACATGCAATATTTAAATAAATTAAATTGTATTTATCAAGATGTGGATTTAAATTTTTATAAGTCAATATACGTGAATGTTAACTGCAGCTCTTGCAGCATATGTATATTTATTACTGGAAATTATGAATATTAGATAAAAACTCATTAAACAGTTAAATTTACTCATTCAAGACAATTTAAAATTTAGTTTGTGTAATAAATATAAGATTATTTGCATACATGTCAGTTCTGTAATTAAAAATAAATCTAAATAGTTTTTTTTATATATTTAAGAATCAAAATTCTTCATGCATTCACTAAATTATAACAACCTACTTATTAAATCGTAAGTGACATTTTTAGAAGTTGACTGGAAGTAAGGTAGCATTTTATGCATATTTTACTGAGTTTGAGAGTAAGTATTTATATGTGTGCTATATATATATGGTGGGTGGGGAAACTGAAAGAAGTTAATCCGGCAACATTTAGTGAGAACCCCGTAGTCGTCAACTCCGCATCGCATCAGTTGACGAGCATCGAAATAAGGCCAACGAAATAATTCCTGGTAACCTTTGAATTAAACAGCGACAGATCGTCACAGGTTTGATCATTTCCCGAGAGTGCACTGTATCGTAACCGGGATGTTGGAATATCACAAGACGTGTGAGCATTGGGTATCGCGGATGCTGACGCAAAAGCACAAAGTTCAGAGGAAGCAAATTTTCCTACGAACCTTTAGTAGCTCGAATACTGCCATAGCACATCGCTACGTTGCAAGAAGGCGGCTCCATCTGAGGGAAAAGGCCATCATGATCATTTTTATTACTTTTTTTTTATTTTATTTATTTATATATTTATTTTTATTTCCAAGGCGTTGTGCTCATTGACATCTTGGAACAGAGAAACACGATAAACTCACAACACTATGCGACAAAGCTTGGAATGTTCCGCACACGACTGCCCTTCATCCGGAACTATTTGGGCTACATATTCTGCAGTCTGACAACCCCCGTCATCATACGAGTTGCGAAAGACAAGAGGGATTGCAGCGCCTGCAATTCAAACAGATTCTATCGCACCCACTGTACAGACGTCACCTTGAGACTTTCGCCTGCTTCCAAAGATGATATAACATTTCTGCTCAATACGAAGCTACCTTTCAAGTCTGGTGTCGACAACAACTTCGGAATTCTTCGATGGGCTTGCCCGACTAGTCACGCGTTAACGCATGTGCGTGAAACGAAATGGAGAATAGGTCGAAAAGTGAATAGTGAATTACACATAGGTCATACGGAGCTTTCATATGTAGACTACATAAGTAGATTATGTGGTGACCGGGTAAGGGGTGGACCACATAAGTGGATGCTTTAAAAGGATGAGTAGTGGACCTTATGAGTGGATTTTGGATACAGCAAAGCATTAATTTATGTGGTTTAAGACCACATGTGTAAATGCCCAGCTCTGTCCGAAAGTAGGCCATCGAAGTATTAAAGTGGTTGCAACGCAATTAACACTTACAATTTTGCTTTATATTTACAGTGTAGATCCATTAGGTTCTTTTACTAGCAACGCTCTCGCCGGAACTCCAACCTGAACTTCTCGAATATGCGTCGAGTGCGCCACCGTTACACTAGGGAGGCATCCGGGAAGGAGGGAGAAAAATACCTTATATACTGCCCCTTTTCAAAGGCGACTTGGGATTAAGGGACCCAATCGCCAAATCCTGGTGGTGGAGAACCATCATCCACCACTTTTTTAGCTTGGGTGCCACTGTAAAGTCATTACGTTATTTCAAAGCAGGAGAGATGAAAAGGAGCAATGCCTTCGCCGGAACTCGAACCACGGACATCTCGAATACGCGCCAAGTTTGCTAACAATTACTACCACGAATTGTTTCTGAAAATTATATTCACTTTGTTTGTATTGGCTTTTTTTCTGAAGGCTTTGTTACTGACAACCTGCAAAAATTCAAAAGGAGAATTTCTTCACTTTTATGTTTGTAATTATTATTAACACCGGATTATTTTCATATAGATATTCTATGTTTCGATGTTTGGTTAGGCGAGTTCGGCCGCGCCTACTACTGATACTGATACCTTATAACGCTATCATAGTCAGTTTTTATCTTTTTCTTGCTGTGAATTCATATATACAATTCATTAACTTATTTTGGAAAATAACTGACAGTACTTTTTTATGTAGTTATTTTAGTGCATCAAAGTACTTTCAGAAAATTCAGCGTTTTAAAAGAAGCTTTATGGTTAATGCTCTTCTTTAAGGGGACAGTACACCTTTAAAATGATCAAAAAATCGATTTTTTGAATTTTATTGTATTTGGTACAGCATTTTGTTCTGAATAAATTGATACTATACTTTTACATCTCCGATAATTTTTTGTAGAATTATAAAGGAAAATATGATCCTCACTTTATGGTTTTTGATTTAAAAGCCCTGAGTCAGCCGCCATGACAGTTTGTTTACATTTTGAAGTCACATCGCACTCATCCTAACTTTGGAGTTGCATGCAAAGCCTTATTTTTTTAATCTAATTAATTGCCGAAGAAGAGAACCATGTAAAACATGCACTACATCTCCTACTTTCTCTCGGTTTGTTTACATCGTGTTTTGCTACGTTAGTTATACTCCGGTTAGGTTTTAATTTGATTTTTGTGTTGTTCGCAATTGTGATTGAATTTTCATCGAATATATATTATTTAACTGGGTTCTTTACAGTGTTTTGTGATATTTTACTGGAATTCAGTTTTTTAATTCCTTGTTTTTATTTCTGCTTTCTGCTTTTTGATGGATAAGTTAAAAAAACGTGCTTCAGGACAGCGTCCAAAAAACGTAAGTTTTATGGCAACAAATACACAAATGTCAATGAGACTAAAATGTCTGACGGTGTTAGTTCCTCGTCTAAAACGTTGAACAGTGCTTGCTTTAATAATAGCTTTAGTGAAACACAGAGTTTGGGATACAGAATAATAGCAATTGATATTTTATTTTCTGAAATTTCAAGTATTTTGTGTTGCAAAGTATGTGGTTCAGACATAAATATATTTGAAACTCTATATCATGGATTATCATCTGTGTTCACGATTGAATGTGTGGGTTGTAAAAAACTGAATTCTTTCAGAAATTGTCCTATGATGGGAGCAAAATCAAAGTGCCTGAGGTAAACAGGAAGTTTATTTATGCTATGAGATGTATTGGCCAAGGTCTGTCTGGAATGAAGAATTTCTGTGGTGGAATGGATTTGCCCCCAGCCTGTCGAGAAATGTTCATACCATAAATCATTGAAAAATATTGCCCGTTGTGTGAAAGACGTTGCTGAGTTATCAATGTTAAATGCTGCAAAGCAAGAAATTGAAATGACAGGACAGTCACAGCTTACCATCAGTGGTGACGGATCGTGGAAAACTCGAGGTCACTCGTCGAAAATTGGAATAACTAGTATAATTGGTATTAAATACTGGAAAAGTAATAGATCTTGAAGTACTGTCGTCGTACTGTAAAAGGTGTGAATGGGGTAAAAAAATAAAAATGCTAAAGAATTTGAGAATTGAAAAAGGAGACATGATATTAACTGTGCGAAAAATCATTTTGGATCAGCTGGGAAAATGGAAGTTGTTGGTATGTTACGAATATTTTCTCGTTCTGAAGTAAAGTTTAACGCTCAGTACATAAACTATATTGGGGATGGTGATACTAAGCCATTTCTTGAGCTTAAAAAGAGCAATATTTATGGGCCTGATATTGAATAAAATAAAGTAGAACGTGTAGGTCATGTACAGAAAGAATGGGAAGTAGATTACGAGAACTGAAGCACTCTATGAGAGGAAAAAAGCTGGAGGATGGTAAATCATTGGGTGGAAAAGGGCGTTTAACCGATAAATTTATTGATCAAGTAACTATATTATGGACAAGCTATACGAAGTAATAAAGACTGCGTTATGGATATGCAGAAAGCTATCTGGGCGATTTATTACCATAAGCGTTCAACTGATGATGAGCCACTCCATGATTTTTGCCCACAAGGAAGTGTGTCTTGGTGCAAGTACCAAAAAGCCAAAGCAACTGCAAAATTGAAAGATTTTAAACATAAAAATGTAATGGCAGCCCCAGTAATGAACAGCATAAAGAAAATTTTTAAAGACTTGTCAGAACCCACTTTACTTAAACGTTGCCTTGGTAGTCGAACACATAATCCCAATGAATCCCTCAATTCTGTTATATGGAAATTCTGTCCAATGACAAGTAGTTCAAGCAAAGTAATTGCTCATATAGCTGCAAATGAAGCAGTTGTAGAATTTAACGAGGGAAGATTGCAAATCATGGGAAATTTGGCTTTTCGAGTGCGACAAAATTCTCTAGAAGCAGCAAAAAAGTGTGATTTGCAACGAATAAAGGAAGCTGAAAAAAATGCTTCAGAACTGAATTTGTCTAATCGCAAAGTCAGACATTTACGTAACGCTTCACAATTAGAAACAATTAAACAACAAGAAGGTGTTGTATATGAAAGCAGAAAATTTTGAATAAAAATTGTTTATATGAAAATTTTATAGAATATATATAAATTTTGTGACATAAAATTTTACCTTATTTGAGATTCTTGTCACAAGCATTATGTGGAGGTAAATTTTGCAATATGGTAAATAATATTAATTACTTCTGTTACTATTGTAATGATGATTATCATACATCTTAAGATTACGTTTAATGTGTGTGTGTGTGTGTGTATTTAATTATGGCAAAGCACACTAGGGCTATCTGCCTAAGAGGAGGGATGCCTTCGTGGAGGACTTTCTAAGGGAAACTGGCTCGTATACACGTTACACATGGGGAAAACCACGAAAACGCCCATGCAGCCAGCCCGTCCGCGGGATTCGAACCTCGGACCGAACTACCAGTGTTCAGCGACTTTACCGCTCGGCCGCTGGTGGGCCGATTACGTTTAATGATTTCTGCTGTTAGGTTGTGTATTTTATGCCATTTTATTAATTATTTTATTTTCACCTACATAAATATCAAAAGATACTATTTTAAGTGTTAAATTACCGTGCCAAAAGTGATTTTATTGCTATATGATTGAAATTTATGTTCCAAAAGTACAAATTAACTTTAAAGAGCTTTTTCTCAAAACGCTATTTTTCAGACTTGCGCGCAGGATATCTATGAAACCGTTTAAGATACAGCATTGAAATTTACAGCACAAATAAATATCGGGCAGTAATTAAAATAGACTCCAATTATAAAGAGACGTTAAATAAAAAAAATTCAGTAAAATTGTACGTAAAAAGTTAACAAAAAATTATTTTTTAAAAATTAAAGCTCAATTTTGTATTTAAAAGTTGAACTAATTAAAAGATTTTACTTCACATGAATAATTAAATCAATAGCTTTAATTTGGCGTTAATTTTCTGCAGATTATGGCGAATTTATGCAAGTTATTCTGCGCGCAAGGAAGCAGTATAATTCAAGACTTATTGTTAATTCAAGAATTGTTGGAGTCTTAGAAAACATTTTTTTAAAATTATTAAACTTAATTTCAAATCCACTAGATATTTTTTTCCAGGCGTATCAATGTCATATGCTAAATATTTCGTATTTTCTCTCCGTTAAAGGTGTACTGTCCCCTTAAGCAGAATAATAATTAAAATCAAAAATAAAAAAAAAGTAATACAGCGAATTTAAAACTCTTGGTCATATTCATAAAAAATAATAATACAAATAGAATTATTTAAAAGTAAGAGCTGTTTACAATATATTTATATATATCAATTATTTATAGTTATTCCTTTTATGCTTCGTAAAATGTGAATGATATTTCAGTTTTGAGCAAAAAGAAATTTTTTGAATAGTGGGAAAGAAAGAAATTTTCTGAATTCTTATAAAAATGTCTGATTTTTTTTTGTGATTTGTTAAAGAGTTAGTATCTGGATATTCGAATTATCAAGAAAGACTGGTCATGATACAACAATAAAACAGGATATAGGTAAGGAATTTTTTTAACGCAAGGCTATTTTATATACTTAATTTGCTTAAATTTAAAACATAGGTTTTTATTTTTTTTTTCTGTAATAATTAATTCTGTTTTATTTACAAGAGTTAGAAAATGTCAGTTACAAAATGAAATCTGTGTTCCAGATCAAGGGTTCCCTAACAGGAAAGAATTTTATAGTCTCAAAGGCGCAATGCGGCAAGGGTTTTATTTAGCTGTTAAGTATTTAATTTTAGTTTATGAATACAAGACCTATTTTTATTCAAGCTTTGAAATTGACTAATATTTTCTATACTTTCTGTTGTTTAATTTATGAAACACTTCCAAAAATAATCTAAATACATGTGTTTTTCAGATTTGGGAAAGGATAGGCGGAATGATCTTTTAACAATGGTGAAATGGATGCATGCGGTAAAAAGATTGAGAAGCACTCCTCTGCATCGATCTGCCGCGTTCTTTGGCACATTGCTAACATTTTTGCGTACCTGCACCAGCAGATTTAGGACACTCCAATATAATGGGCCTAAACGTCTACGGTGTGCACTGATTCTTTTGGTACACTGATGTATTTATCGCACGATGAGAGACACTCACATATAGAAATTTAGCATGGCTTACCCCTTCTAGTTATTGGTGCTTTGGATCTTGTTTCAAACGGACAATTTAAAGCAGGTGAAGAATACACCATGTTACATGCATTTGATTAAAACTATTTAACAAAAAATGCACGGACTTTGTGCTCACAATAACACCGATTACTTGCGGTGGGAACTTAAGAAAAATGTAACAATAACTTTGAATGTCAAAGAGTAGTGCTGGAGGACTTAAAACTGACAGAATGACTCAGCAACCTTCACCGGCGACAGACTTTAATAAACGGCTAGAAGGTGTATGAGCAACTCAGAGTAACAGCAGGAAGGATGAAATAGCAACGGGCGCTATACTAGCTGAATCACACTCTCCTCCACCTCTCTTTCCCTCTCGCCCGTTTAAATACTTTTCTTTAAATTAATTCGCTTCCTGACGAAGAGATGCGAGGGGACATGAATTCAGACAAGATAACAAAATTTTAAATAATTGGTTATTCAAACTAAGGGGAACCGTACAAAATCTGTAGCTGTTGAAAACGAAAAAACTATACGAAACATGCCGAAACTTAAATTTAATAACGCGGAAATCTTGAAAATTATACATTTAGAGATTACTTAATTAGTACATAAAATATGCGTAAGGTAAGCAACATAGTAAGTTGCTTCCACGATTTGTTTATAGCAATCCATCGCAGTGAAAAGCTTCTTTCAGCGTCAATATACAATCCAGATCGAGGCAAACCAGAAATCCACTGAAAACTCCACTGTATGGAGACATTGAATCCAACGAAAACAGCGTAGTATATATTAAATTCGATACCTTTTTCCTGGCCACGAGGCCACAATTGCATTCGACATTCTTTCGTTTTTCTTTCAACTATTTCTTTAAGTTCTTTCGTATGTCACTATCTCATCTGTATTATATAGAATGAATTACTCCTAGGATGGTGAAGATAATTCTAACAAAAGTTTGGTAACTTAAAGTCCTAATAAACACAGCAAAAGTTTCAAAAAATTTGAAACTATAACATGAAAGACTTCGTCCACAAAAAATTAAAATTATAAAGAAAGAATACATTCATAAAGATAAACGATAGAAATTACGTACCATGCATTACACAAACTTTCAACATAAAAGAAGGCTTCATGGGCTTCGGTTTTCGTTTTGTCCAACGTCCAAAGCGTTGTACCATTAGGAGGTTGATGCACTGTCCGGTTAACAATGACGGGCACTCGCATGTTCGGATGAGTCTTCAGACAGAATGTCACGATGGATACACAGATGAAAAACACGGACACAACTGCTACTACCTGCAAAATAGAAATACAGAGATGGAGTTTTAAGACTTCCTTCAATAAACTTGTAGAGATATTAGGTTATTTCGAAGCAGAAGAGATGAAAAATGAGCAATGCCCTCGCCGGGACTTGAACCACGGACCCTTCGAACACACGCCGAGCGTGCTGACCACTACACCACGAAAGCATGATAAGAAGGCGGAGAAATACCTTATAAACTAAATAATTATTACGGAGTTTTTCAGCAAGAAGAAGAGAATGTAGCTATACTAAATACTCAAATTCAGAACTACCGGTGGATAGTATGCAAATGAGAATAACTACATAGTCAGTAGAAAAACAAATACTGAACTACTAGCAGGAAAATTATACGACATGCACAGAAAGGATTGCAAGAAAAGAAGGGTGATAAAAACTGTAGCTAAAACGTAATAAACAGCATATAATATTAAAAATAATGTATTTTACTATAAAATGATTGCACTGTAAATAAAATAAACAACAGTATAATAGTACAATAATGTTCTGGAATTTATAGTACAGTGTTTACTGTAATTTACAATAATAATAGTTAAATAGTAATAATAATTAGTTGATGTTAAATAATTACAACAATTATAGTTCACAACAGTTTACTTTACTGAAAAAGTACTGCACTGCAAATAAAATAAACAACTGTACAGTAGTGCAGTCCTGTTCTGCAATTCGTAGTGCAGTATTTACTATAAATTACAGTTCTGTAATTTATAGTAGAGTAATAAAAGTTAAATAATAACAGTTAATTAATAGTTAATTAATATTAAATAATGATAGTTCACATTAGTTACTATTTTAAAATTAATGTAGTGTAATTTATAATTAATGATAATCAATAACTTGCAATATTTTCTGTAACTGATAAAACAGTACTGCAAAATTACAATACTGTACTGTCATTAAATACTGTAAAATTAGTTTTTGTAAATAACTTACAAATAGCATTCATATAATATAATGTAGATAAATTAAAAGCTATGATGAAATTGAAACTTGAAGGTAATTGGTTTGAAATTGAAATTCAGTTAAAAAGGTAGCAGTAAAAGACTGTGTAGTTCAAACAAGTCTCTGATATCCTCAAAGCACCTGAATTCCAATTTCGAACGATATAGCGAAGTCTGAACACAGCAAACAAAAATTTTGTTTTCATTGTTCGTTAAGTTTGCATATGATGATTTTTATGCTTTGTTTTGAATAATTTTTCCTGCTTCTTTCACATTATATCGTATGCATACAAATATAAAATGCAATTCCATTTTCCATATTCTTAACTTTCTTGAGGTAAATAAATTTTATAAAAATATAATTTATGATGAAATAAAGTAAACACATTTCAAAATTTGTACTATGTGTAAAACTGACTATAACTTATTGTAGAATAATTAGCGGTACTTTAGTTATAATCCACAAGCAGTTATTAAATCAAAAATTACTTTCATTGATTAGAATGTGGTCATTTGTTACTCATTTTTCATCGCTAAAATTGAGATGATTAAATTTTGCTGCATCTCCGAGAAGTAAATTAGGTTATCATCAACAAGTAAATTAATGGTTTTTCCATGGTTTTCTAACTGGAACTTTAGACAGAATATCAGGTAAGATATATATCGAATTTATATACTAATAGTTTTCATTTTACATTAAATAAGCTATGAGAACGGTAAGAATAATATGAAGATTGAAATTCATTCCAAGTCTTCTGTCCATGAAAAACCTCTTTGTGCATGAAAAATGATTAATTACCTATAAAGCTTATCAACCTTTTTTTTTTCAGATTGTTTTTTAAGAAAATGTTACCAATAATGAAAGTAGGCGTCATTTACCGAAACACAAAAGCTTCTATTTTCTCTTTCCGAACAAAATAAAGACTTTTTTTTTCTGATTAGCGTATTCAGGTACGTATCATTCCATTTGTAATCTTCGCGAACATAAAAAGAAAGCTTTCACTGATGAGCTTCCAAGACACGTGATATCAATTTTTTTTATTGGCAGACACAACAAAACGTGTTTCAACTAGACCAGTTTCACACGTGCACGCGTGATCTCCGTTACTTGCGAATGGGATTCGTTATAACGCAGAAACGTTTATTCTGATGCTCACAAAAGAAGTATAAACATTCGAAGGGTATCACTCTTGTTAATTACCTGTCACAAAATTTCATTAGATCACTTATTACAAATGTACATCTGTTGGTTTTAAATATACGTTATTTGAAAATAATATTGCTAATTGATTTCTTGGAAATTACCATTATACAAGATCATAAATATAACTGTCTCAATTTTTTTTCCTTTCTTTTCTAACTTTTTTCAAATCCAATGGCGGTCACTTGCCCAATCAGCACTGGTCAAACCTTGTGGTAGCCATTTTATTGTGGAGGCACCTAATAAGCTGCTACGGATGCCTCCAATGAACAGATGGACAACTAACAACCATGTCTTCTCAGAAATTCGAACCCGTGCCATTCGACACCGCAGTAAGCTCTCCTAAAGACTATACCGGGGTCTTAAATATGTGGAATACCTATTAACTAGGCGCATCTTCTTTCGGCGCATAAATTGTAAGAAAAACGTCCAGAGCATTTAAGCAGGTGTACAAAACTTAGGCAAGGTGAAGCACTGTTAGAATGTAATTAAATCTTTCCCATTTGTCCAAAGTTTGAAGTTCGAATTTTCTTAATAGTAACTAGCGGGCCAGCTGAGCGGGCTGAAGCCCGCTTTTCATTGTTCAATGTTCATGAGTTTCCATTGTAATTTCGCCGTTATTCGAAAGTTGAACCGAACTACCAGTGTTCAGCAATTTTGAGCAGTCTGCGTCCGCTTTGTTCACCTATGTATGGAGAAGATACTGCATAAACGATACACATGCTTAAAAGCAAGAAAACACCCATGGAGCCAGCCCGTTCGCCGGGATCGAAAGTTGGACCGAACTACCAGTGTTCATCGGTTTTTTGCTGGCTGCGCCCGCTTTATTCACATATGCATCCAGAAGACACTGCATACACGATACACATGCGGAAAATCACGAAAACACCCATGCAGCCAGCCCACTCTCTCGGATTCGAAACATGGACCGAACTACCAGTGTTCAGCGGATTTGAGCGGGCTGCGCCCGCTTTATTTACGTATCCGTCTATTAGATACTGCATACACAATACACATGCCTAAAATCACAAAACACCCATGCAGCCAGCCCTTTCGCGGGTATTCGAAAGTTAGACCGAACTACCAGAGTTCAGCGCTTTTGATCGGGCTGCGCCCGCTTTATTCACGTAGGCTAAGCGGAATTTTCTTTCAAGATTTTACATACTAATATTATTTTGTAGGTACCATTTATTTGAGTTCGCTAGTTTGAAGAGCTCCTTTTAGATATCAGATTTAAGCTGTACACCTTTAAGGGTTAATAATTAAAGACGGCAACCTCAAATGCTTATGTTTAAAACGTTTGTGGTCCATAACTGCAGATGGTTTTAATTTTTTGGATTTTTTTTCCATTCCTTTAAACATTTTTAATTTCTTGAAATTTTTGTGATAAATTCTTTGAAGTGTTAAACTATAAATCTGATATTTCAGATTTCATTTTTAAAATCTTCATAGGAATAAGAGAAATAAAATCAGAATTCAAAATGTAGTTTACGTTTGACATGAAATGCTTATATGTTATTTGCTGTCATTCAAACTGAATAGAGGAGTATGCTTATTTAAATTTGCGTTTAAGTGTCACGAAATCTCAGTTATTAATGCTGTGGCTAAAAGACTTCTCTATGTAATGTATAGTTAAAGCAAAGGCAACACCAAGTAACACAACGCAACGGAGCTTTCTTAATGTTATTCAGAAAAGAGCTTCTATTCCCAAAATAAATACTGCAGTGACTTAATTTTATTTTCAGAAACAGAGATTAACTTTTACATTGATAAAAATTTATGCAGAAAATCCTAAAACTTACTTAGTGCAAGTAATTCAAAGCCTGTATCTAAAGCATTAATTCTTATGGTGACGCGAAAAAATATATTTAATTTATGTGGCATTTCTCTATCTTTCTATTACTGCTAAAGATGAATACTGCAGCATACAGCGCCACCTAATGTAAAAACGAAAAATTAACTTAGTTGTTAGGCTTGTCAAACGCAGAATGCCCCAACATACCTAAAATATGTTGATCATTGTTGTAAGAATTATGTTAATTTTATTAACAGTTAAATTTTACGTTAAAGTTCCTTTCCTGTCGATTCTTAACTTCAACTTACTACTTCCGGCCAGAACGTAGTTTCAGAATCACGTCTGAATACATAATGAGGAAGAGCGGTATTTAACCGCGAAGTGCTACTGTCTGGGGCCATGTTTCAGGCATATGTTACGTTTATCTAAGTTGAATTACATTCCTAAATTTTCGCTCATTATGGCCGACATAATTAATGCACAGTTTTATTATGGTCCTCTTTCTTTTGTTTCATTAGATATATTTTTTTATCATTTATATTTTAACATTAGCACTCATTCTTCTTCTTTCAGTTGCCAGAGAGCCAAAACCTGCGTTCAAAAAATAATTTGACTAAAGCAGTAAGGCATACTGTTACGGATTTTGCATAATGTAATATGAAAAGTCTAAAAAGAGTGAAGCTCTGAAGGAAAAATAAGATTACATGCGTAAGTCTATTTAACATTGAGGTAAATGACTATTTCTCTAAATTAGCGAGATATCGTCAAGTTGGCAATCAGTTTTCTCCTCCAGATTTCGGGAAAAATTGCCAAACTTGGCGACCATTTGGCGACATTTTAGTCCATTTTCTGTATAACTATAAATGGTATAGTAATTGAAAAACTATAGTAACTGAAAATTGTAATTGAAAAACCCTCTTTTAACGACCATCTCTCTGTGATGATCTTTGGAAAAGTGGTGAGCTTGTTGCAGGACTCCCAGTGTTTAGTCTCCAAGCGAAATTTGTACTCATTTTATCGACCCGCTCTAGGGATGAAAGGCTGAGTCAGCTTTGCCCAGCCCGGGGATCCAGCCCCGGACCTGTAGTGCTGCTGCGCGAGGTGCTAGCCTCTACGCCACTGAGCCTCTAACAATAAGTACCTAGGAATATTTAATTTTAGTTTGTTGTTGTTCTAAAAAAGGTTATTACCTAAATTCATCACTGCAAAGCGGAATTTTCTCAACTTGCTTGGGTTGGACCTTACACACATTATATACTTAAGTAAATTAACAATAAATTTGCTATTTCATTTAGTTACTTATAAGTGTAAATGAAGTTTAGCAAAAAATATGCATAATTTAATAGTCCGTACCAGGAGGTCATACGGTATTCCCTTCAGTTGATTTTCATCATACATTGACATAAAAAAAAATTAAAAAAAAAAAAAAATTCTGTATACCATGATTTAATTCAAAGGACACATATTAATATTGTTGTTTTCGAAAACCTTGTGACTGGAGATGGTACTGTTTCTATAATTCTGAAATAAAATGGCAGTTATCTACTTGGAACTCAAACAGATAACTCGAATTGAATTATTCATAAATTGAATTATTCGTAAAGAATTTGTTGAACAGATTGTGAACTCTATTTTGTAAAGATGAAAAGGACATACCTATTAAGAGAATTCAGCTTGTTAGAGGACGGAAACTCAATCGAGTATCTGGTTTCTGCTACACGAAAATGCGCCTTCGCAGAATTCCTTTATCGTCAAGCGCTGATAAGGAAATTTATCACAATGCTCAACCATTCCCTTTATTCACAGGATTTGTCAGCCAACAGTTATCATTATCGTCTGTACGCTGAAACTTCACCTTAAATGTCATTATTTTAATAGTACTGAAGAGATCAGAAAGCTGTAACCACAGATTTAAACAATATACCACAAGATGACTTCTACGGAGGAATCAAATAGTTACATGAACGTGACAAGTATTCCATGGACGTAAAAGGATTGTATATATTAAAGGCTAAGAAGAATAAAAGCTTTCTTCCAACTTTCGATTTCGCACCAAGTTAGCTCTAGAACTTCGTAGACAGAAATTTTATTTTATGATAACGAAACCTTTAAATAATTTACATAAATGTCGATACAAAAAATATTTGAATACAAATCATATGAATTTTGATGCCTTCAATATGCGAAACTTTTCTTCTCCGAAACAGAGTTAAACGCAATATTACTGATTTTAATTAATCAAAGAAGAAAAGTTTACATTCTGTTTGCTACCTCATAAAAATAATATAATGAACAATCCTTTAACCGCGACCAGCGAATACATTTGAAAGAAGTTCTAATTCATAAAATGAATCAGTGCTTTTTTCAAATCATGAAAACAGATACACAGTTTTAAAGAAAAGTAGATTTCCTATTGTAAGAAAAAAAGGTTTCCTAGCAATATGGCACCTGAAATATCATCATTGTATACCTCCTGCCGGTGCTACTTTGGGAGACGGTTGCACGGATTTTTGCGATTTTTTGGCGATTTTTCTTTTGGCGAGTCTACAACTTATGGTAAACCCATTGCTGGATAAGTTATTTATGGTAACCCATACTTTGTTGTCATTTTATTAAAAAAATAATGCGTTTTATTATGCATAACTTCCGTGTTTTAAATATTATTTATGGCTTCTAAATATTAAAAATCAAATTAATTTTACATTTTTATTTGAAATAAAAAATTTTGTTGTTTATAATATTTTATATAATTTTATGTTGTTGATGATATAATCAATGACGTCACCTTACTTAAAAAGTAATTGGTTTTATTAATATCTATAAATTTAATCTAATGTTTTAAACATTATTTATGGCTGTTAAATATTAAAATACAATTTAATTTTGCATTTGTTTTAAAAATGATTTTATTATGAATGATTATTTAAATAATTTTAATTCTATGCGTGATGTAATCAGCTCCCTGATTGGTTACTGAATATTTGTGCATTACCGCGCCATTTTAAAATTTTATTATTCATCTCTTCGAATTCGTCAGATTTCAAATGGAATGGATATCTCTGTTTCGAAGATGAATGTTGTTATTGGTAATTACCAAGAATTATTGGTATTGGAATAAAAAAATTGCCCTTTGAGACCTTATTTTGGCCAACCTGTCTTTCCTAATCAAAGATTTATTTATAAATTGTTAATAGCGTCAGAGGAAATTTATTTTAAATTTTTGGAGGAAACCTCGCTAATTGCTTCTTCAATGAAGTGCGAGATATGTGGATAACAGATGAAGATGGTTAAAAGAGCCGATTCAATTATGATTTCGATTTTTTTTTGTGATATTTATCAATAAACAAGAGGTTAAATTACTCAAAAAAAAAAAAAAATGTAAGTACATATATTTCTTTTATTTTACAATTGTATGCTTCAATTTTTGTTAAAAAATTAATACATACACTATTTTCAAAAATTGCTGAGATAATTATTGTCACATATGTTTTAATGTTAATTATATTTTATATAACGTATTTTAAAGTATTTGAATTTAATAATATTCTAATTCTTTTAAATGTTGGTAGGATGGTTTTTAATTCGATATTCAATTTCAGTAATATTTTAATCTAATTAAACGTTGGCACAATGTTTTTATAGCGGTGTTTTTATTCTCTTTTTTGCTATATGAAAGTAATAATAGCCTTACTTTAGTATTTTATACTCATAGTAAATGTATTTATTTACACTTGCCTGCCATCTTAAAAAACATTTTCAACAAAAAATTAATCCATTACTTTTAACGATATTTATTTTTTTTTTTTAAGTTTCGAATACTTTACTATGCGTAAAAACAGCGTTTTTCAAGATGGCTGACGATTGTAAAAATCGCGCCAACAATTGCGCCAACGTAAATCGCCAAAAATCCGTGCAACCGTCTACCAAAGTAGCCCGGAATTATGACAATTTGTTTCTTCCATGAGCTCATAGGGAAAATATTCATAATATGTAAATTATAAGCACGTGCCTTGAAGGTCAACTACCTGTCAGTATTTCCGGTATCACGACGTTTTTTACTTCCTTGTACGAAGTAAAAAGGAAGTATTGTAATCGCGAAAAGTTTCAGGCAGCATATTTCAACGAAAATATCCATTTTGACCGCTATCGAATGCAATTTAACGATGGTTTTGCGTAATATCTGTACGTAAGAACAGAATAAAATACGCTTTTCCTTCCAAAAAATTATAAAACTTCTTTAAAATTAATTCTGAAGAGAATTTTTCGTGGCGTCTGTACGAACGTATGTACGTACGTGCGTGCGTACGTACGTATCTCGCATAAGTCTAAAACGAGTAGCCTCAGAACGTTGAAATTTTGTATATAGGACTGCTATAACATGTAGATGTGCACCTCGTATTTTGGTTGCAATCGGCCGCACCAAACGTATATAAATATATTTATATATATATCCACTCTGTTACCCGGCTCAGTGATCTCAGTTTCTTTACTCTTATATGTTCGTAAATTGTACACTTTTTGCTTTAAAAATGATTAAAATATGTTGTTTTTATCTTCCGGTTAAGGACTTTATGCCCTTAGTAAATCTGTGTGCAATATTTTTAGAATTATCAGCAATTTTAAAGTTGTTTAATTGCCGCTAAGCCTGTTTTTAATGGCGGTCATTGATGTTTACATTTGAAACAGGAGACTAGTGGATTTGTTGCCAATCTAGAGAAACTTAGCTTCGCAACAACAAAGATAACGCATTCATTTATTATTGCCAATTAAATCATGCTTAATTCTTTCTGGAATTTTTTCGAGGAAATAAGTGTTTGAGATTTACTTCGTAATTTTTAATAGTAATTTACTTCGTAAATTACTATTATTATTAATTAATTACTTAATTACTTCGTAATTTACTTCGTAATTTTTACTTCGTAATTTTGAGTTTTTATGTATTTGCCTTCTCGCGAAGTGAGAACTGAATTAATTAAATGAGAAATACTCAATCGTCTGTAAAAAACTGTTTCTTTTTTGTTTTGTTTGCTTAATGTCTTTTATACATCATTCTAGCTTTATTATAGTATTTGAATAGAACATGTGGCAACGATTAGATAATTCTATTCTTTAAATGATATAAATTTTGTGCATTATGAGTTATAATATGAACGAAATATAATACTGAAGGGGAGTCATCACTTTTGCGCAACACAAAAAGTGACAATTTTAGCTTATTTTCGAGATTTAATAAGTTTTGTCATACATATATGAAATTTTCAGTGTGTCATCTTTATACATAGATGATTATCTTTCTTGATTTATTTTATTTAATGGTGTATAAGAATTTGTTTTATAAAGAAAAAAACTAACTGTATTTTCCGAAAATTTAAAATTTGTACTGAAGCACTGCGCGCAAACTGACAGTAATACAAATTTAGTTTCAGTGATAATTTTTAAGTGAATCTAGCGCCAGAGTGTCGCTATGGTAAACAAATACTAGAGTGAATTTTAAATAATGCATTCATTCTATTGTGGTTTATGCGCTGTCGGCGAAGTAGATTTAATTCAATCCAATAAGTTTAAATGAAATGCAAGAAAAATGGGTATAATTTAATATTCCGTACAAGGAAGTCATGTGGTGTACACATCAGATTTTTTCCCTTGCAAATGAGGTCTACAAGTTTTCGTGCAAATTTTCATGATTAGATCTTGGAGACAGTGGGGTACTCATTTTTCCTTTATGACAAAATTTTACTTATCTTTTATATAATACTAGCTGCTTTCGCAACCAGCCGCTTAAATAGTTATTTTTGAAGAAAAGAAGGAGGGAAAAACAATTCTGAAAGGCCTCCGATTTTAACAATCGCTCTGAATAAACGTTTCGCTATATCAGCTTAAATACAGTCCTTCGCCCTTACTAATTTACATCCTGACGAGAAAATGCAAGAGGAATAACAGAAGACGGAAAAGGCTAAGAAATCAAAATAACTATTAGTAGAAATAAATCAAAGCTATAAAGTCATACGCAAATTGAAGAGGGAAATGTTTACGCTAGTAGGCAACTAAACACTAAATACCAGCCTAGAAATAATCTTCTGATGTTACCTAGGCAAATGACAAGAATTTCAAGGAAAAAAAAAAAAAGAAAAGGAAGGGAAGAGATAGGAGAAGATGAGGATGGCGTGTCACTTGTGGAATTAAGAAACATTCTTTTGAAAATTCCTGGATGTTCAGGAGTTAGTGCTAAGGATGCAGCAGAATGAACGGTGCGTGATTCGTAAGACCCTGGGTTTCAAATTCTAAATTATCATGAACTTGTTGAAAGTGTGAGAAAAGTGTCGAGGAAAAAGATGACCTTAATGTCGAAGTTGAATCAGACACGGGACCATCAGCTAGTGAAGCGTTTGCCGGGCTTGAAACTGCGTTGAAGAGGATAGAACATCAGGCCGTGTGTGACCATTTGCAACTTCCCATTGTCAAACGGATGCGCGACTTAAGTCAGCAAAGTTGCAGCTGACCATGAGACTTCATTCTTTCGCTCATTACAACTCTTTTCAATATAATTAGACTCTTTTAAGGGAAATAAGGTCCAAACCCTAGTGCTGGAATCATTAATTACTGCAGCGGACTGCAGTTTAACAATTCAACAGTACAAGGTGATTGTAAAATAGCGTTTCACGTTCCTGTATCCCCTCAACTTCTGCAAGAAAATATCCTCCATTTAAGCACTTGAGATCGTAATGAAG